ACAAATAAGTCAAACTTGGTTTGCTTCTAACTCTTCCTTTGCCTGATTTTGCATTATCCTTAATTTATGGACATGAGTGTATAAGCGAAACTATAATATTGAAACGAAACTTTTTAGTGGCTCTTTAAGAACTAGGAAATTTTGTAAATTGTAACTTCTTCCGTTTCAGAAGTTTGCCGACCCCTGCTCTAGACAATGGTAGGTCAGTCATTATTTGTTTTGTAACTTGGGCACGATGTCTACAGCAAACAACACAATTCATAATAATGTTTTTTTATTTCAGATATAGCAGCGACAATTCAAAACCTTTGTATTATTATAGAAAGCAAAAGTGCAAGAGGTACATGCAAATACATTTCGTGATAATATCTAATGATGAGCTTAGAAATGAAATGTTTTTTTAGAAATGAGCATAGAATGTTTTCGAATTTCCAAAATATTTGAATTCCTTAATCGGTCTCCAACGCAAATAATTTCTCTTTCTTCAAGGAATGGACTTAAGGAAAGTATTCGGCTGTTCGATTTCACAGAATTTCCACTCTTTAAGTTTGATATTTCGTCAGGAAATTCAGAATGTTGTAAAATTCTTATTATTATCTTACAACTCTATTAAGTTCTTCACTGACAAGAAATCCTGTTTTTTAAATGTGCGCTTCAAACAATTGTTGATAAATCGTAAACAGTAATCAACGATACGGCATAATTTTATCCAAGATGAAAATTTGAAAAGAAAAGAGTCATTTTAAATTTTAACTAAATTAGAAATAATGTATTTCCTTTCTTCCTTGGCTGCTTCTTGACTGTCCAATTCCATTTGTTCATCCAATACAGATTCCGGATTAAAATTCTGTAACCAGGAAGGTCCATTGAACCATTGATCACCTTCAATCAATTCATTAGGCCGTAATACTCTAGTACAATAATCAGCGGGATTATTTTCCCCCTGAACGTGATTCCATTTCACCTCAGGAATGGCAGTTTGAATTTTCGACATTCGATTGGCTACGAAAGGAAGCCATCTCCGTGATTTAGATGCAATCCAAAATAAAGTGATAGTAGAATTTGACCATGCAAAATAATTACTAGCAGGAAAATTCAAGCATTTCATCATTATCTTGAGAAGATTTGCTAGCAATACGCAGAACATAGTTCTAGTTGTGGTAAAGATAAGCTTTAAGTGGTGCAACTCTTGTTTTTGCACACACCAATGATACCTTACTTTCTTCTTCAGAAAACGATTTAGCATAAATGACTGCACAATACGCCTTCTCAGATGAATCACAAAAGGCATGTAACTCTATATTGCAATGATTATCAATTAAAATCATTATAATTGTTAAGCGAAGTTAACTCTCCCTGAAAAAGAGTCCATATGGTCGATCGTTGTGGATTAAGAGTTTCATCCCAATCTAACTTGTCAGTCTACAAGTCTTGAGGAAATATTTTTGAAAATAATAATAATAATAATAATAATAATAATAATAATAGTAATAATAACTAGGGCTAACCAGCCTTTGGGGTCAAAGAGTCTGGCAACTTCTGACAGTATATTCCTTTTAGTGTCCACTGAAATTACAGAAGGTGGAATGTTAAAATTAAATGCGTCACTTTGGGGATGCCAGTTTATTTCTAACACCTTTCTTGATTGTTCCTTGAAAATGTCTCACTGAAATGCATTTTCTTTGAGTACTTGTGGTATTTCTTCTAACACATCAGGCATGTTAGATGACCATTTCCGAAGCATGAAGCCTCCTCTACTCATAAGATTATCTATATCATGTATTAAATTTTTGGCCGCAGTTCTTGATGCAGCACCTGTTAAAAAATCATCCACATAAAAATCAGATTTGATAACTTCCGAAGCCCTTAGAAAATCCCTTTTGTTCATCTAAAGCTAACGGGAGAAGAGAACGGGTTGATAAAAAGAGTGCAGGGAAAGTTCCATATGTCACCGTTAGTAGTCGATATTCTTGAATTGGTTCATTCACATGATTTCTCCACAGAATGCGCTGAAAATTCGTATCTTCTTAATGCACACGAATTTGTTTATACATTTTTTCTATATCCGCACAGATAACAACAGCATGTGTTCTAAATCGGATGAGAATGTCAAACAACTCTGGTTGAATTCTAGGACCTACGTGTAGCAGGTCATTAAGTGAATATCCACTGAATGTTTTGGCTGATGCGTCAAATACAACCCTTAATTTAGTGCTAGTCCTTGATGGTTTAAATACTATCCAGTATTTAAACCATCAAAGACTATTGGACGTCCAATAGTCTCTTTTTATCAAGTAATAATAGCCTATTATTATCAAGTAATAATAGACTATTGGAAGCACAGGTTCATAATCAGGTATGACTTCCATATGTTGCAAATGCAAATAATTATCAAGAAACCCCTTATATAAGTTATACAGTTCGGGTTTTCTCACTAATCTATTTTCCAAAAGTAAAAACCTTCTCAAAGCTAATTTCCTTGAATCTTCTAAATCTGATGGCGATTTCTTGAATTGTAATCTCACTACATATCTACCTGAGTTGCCTCTGTCATGAGAAGTCTTAAAATGTTCTTCACACCTTACTTTGGATTTCGACAGAAGAGTTTCTTCCGGAACTGTTTCGAGAGTCCATTATTTAACTATTGTATAATTTTCTTTTATTTACTTGTATATTAATAACTATGTATATAATATACATAGATATAATTGTATATAATAACTATGTATAATTTTCTTTTATTTACTTGTATATTAATTCATCAGTACTTAACTCTAAATTATTTAATGATATGCAAGAGTTCCCGTAAAAATTAAATAACACTGTTCCTGAAATGATCCAACCTAATTTCTAACGAACAGCTGTTGGAAGTTCTTGGTTTCGTTTAATTGGTTAACCTAAAACAAGTGACATGAAAACATTTACTCCTAGAAGAATATCTATTGGAGCAGATTCATAAAATTTAGGACCTGCCAAAATCAGATCATTGAATGAATTCACAATATTTGATGGTAATGATATGTGGGGTAAGTTTCCACAAATCTTGTATATAACAAAAACAAAAACAGAAGTTGTAAAGGAAGGTTTTGAACCAAAGTGAGGAGAGAAAGTAATCTCCAGTTCTCCATTTGTTTGAGATGTGGTTGATCTAGGCACGATATCTGGATTCTTGCCTTTTTTCTATCCAGACGAAGTTTTGAAAGAGAACTCTCAGTAATAAAGTTTGCCTGTGAGCCTGTGTGGATCCTTGCCTTTTTTATATCCAGACGAAGTTTTGAAAGACAACTCTCAGTAATGAAGTTTGCTTGTGAGCCAGAATCCAACAAGACTCGACATTGTACGAAATTACCTAGTGCGTCACAAACTTTAATTACAGCATTGCACAACAAAACTTCCTTGTTTATAGTTCCCCTATTCACAAAATTAGAGTGTATCTGATTAACATTATTAGAAGTGTTATCTGGGGTAGTATTTTCTGTCATATTTTGAGGAGTAAACACCCTTGCATGAGCGGACAATGTATTTCCATTATTATCAGTAGCAAATAAAACAGTATCTCGAGATTTCGTTAAATGCAATAATAAATGTTGATTATTACGTCACGTTTTGCATCTACTCAAGCTTTTACAAGCCTTGCACGGTAGATAAACAATTAAAACAAAGTTTATTAAATTTCACAAAATTGAATCTTTTGCTAACAGGCAATTTACCGAATTGATCACACTTATATAAGTAATGATCTTTCTTACAATAAGGAGAATTTGTAGTAGCTTCTAAAACTAAAGATGTGACCTTAGAATTTATTCTTTTTTCCTTCAAATTGGTTTCACTGTTGTGAAGTGTTCTAGCATCCCTTAGAAACGTAAGTAATTCGTTTAATGTTCCTAGTTGATCGCCTTTTAAGTGTCTCTCATACCAAATGCGTGTATTTTTAACCAATTTTTCTACAAGTAAATGAGTTACAAATGTATCACCAAAGCCTTCGATCTTTTGTTCTAGAACATTTAGGGAACGAATGCATTCATTAGTGACGTCAACAAGATTCAAAATAGCGTCTGCTGAATCAGAAACATTTCGATGCGTAATAAGCTTTTTAATTAATGAATTCACCAGTTCACATTTATTCGAAAATCTGTCTTCGAGTAAATCCTAAGCAATTTTATAATTTGAATCTGAAATAAGTATAGCTTGAATTATTTTCACAGCTTCAGCCTTACAAGGGCTCTTAAGATACTGAAGCTTTTGAGCGTCTGATAATTTAGCATTATTGTGTACGCTAGCCTTAAAAAGATCGCTACATGTAAGCCATTGATCTAAATTTCCATTTCGGAAGTTTTACTTCTGTAGTATCTGAATTAACTGAACTAATATTATCAAGACAAGAACCTTTTCGCTCTAATTTTAAGCAGAGATCATCAGTTGTATTTTGAACTATTTGATATTCTTCAACCATAGGTATCAACTTCTTTTTCCACACATGTTACATAAATATTATCAAAAATGCGTAAAACATCTGCACTTAAAATATTCAGTTTCTTTTTAAAAAGTTCACTTCTTGCGTCATCGGCTTAAACAATCTCAGAATTAATTTTATCTTTAAATTTCGTTAAATTGCCTTTAGCGACTCGTTTCTTTAGTTATATAGTGATTTCATATCCATTATGAAAAATATGAAATTGACTTACCCTAAATTGATACAGCAGATGTGTTCTTTCAAATGAGTCAGCAACAGTCCGGTGGTGTGGCTAGAGCGGACGTGGTCAGAGCGGACAGTGGTTACAGCGGACACGTGAGGGAAGCTGGGTGGGCAGAGCGGACATTCTTGCACCTGTTGTGTTATTTCCCTAATCAGTCAAATGTGATCTATTGTGTAGTTTCGAGCTTTGCACCTGCTGTAGAGATAAGCCGATACTTTTGAGAGAGAAGGCCTTTCTCATTTTCTCATTAGATGTTCGATCCTGAAGTGTGTATGTCGTTTTATATCGTCGAAAAAATCTGTGATGGAACCCATAGCTATTTCAACAAAATTACTCTCTACAAAAAAAGGAAAAGAATGTTTAGTTGTAGATGATTACCCACACCGTTTACACCGAAAAAATAAATTAGGAATGAGTTGGGTATATGTAAAAGAAAAGACACATCATTGTAAAGGAAATGTGAAGACAAATTTTCAGTACGAAGTACTGAAGAAAACTGAACATTCCTGCCCGCCCAACGTTGCTGAGATCGAAGTTAAAAGGAAGTTAGAGACTTGCAGAAAAAGAGTCCGAGAAGAAACATCAGTTCCCGTTCGCCAGATATTTCAAGAAGAACTTTCAGAATTATATCAGAAAGGTTATGATTTCGTTGCTAAAATACCGACATACTCCAATGCCAAAACTGCTTTATGTAAGGAGAGGAGAAAGGCTTTGGGAGCTACTCAAAATGCCAATGACATTCAGTTTGGAAACGATACACTTTTGCTTTCTAATGGAGAAAACTTTCTTCGCTTAGACTTTCAAAATGACCAAGGTAACAGGATTTTAGTATTTGGAGGAGAAGAATCTCTGTACCTTTTGGAAAATGGAAAGACTTTTTTCTTAGATGGAACATTTAAAAGTTGTCCGAAACAATTTGCTCAAATATATACAATACACGTCGATTTAAGGAGTACAGTAACTGAGACCAACGTTTACCCAGAGCTTTTTGCATTTCTGCCTGATAAGAGACAAGCAACTTACATTGCAATGCTTCAGGAAGTGAAACGTTGGTGCCCTAAGTGGAAGCCGGACATTATAAAATTGGATTTTGAAGTCGCAGCCATCAATAGTTGTATGTTAGAATTTCCCAGTTCGACTATTTCCGGTTGTAACTTTCATTTTAATCAATGTTTGTGGTGTAAGATACAAGAAGTGGGTCTAGTAAAGGAATATAAAGAGAACGATTTCTGCATTAGCTTACTTGCCAATGGAACACATAGATGATGCTTGGAGCATTGTATGGGAAAAAGCTTTTAGCATTGACAAACTTACACATTCATTGATTATTTTGTACCACATACCACATTCATTGATTATTTTGTCGAGCAGTGGATGGACAATCCAAATATGCCCATTAAAGTATGGAACGTATATGGACAGCGTCATAGGACAAATAATTCTGTTGAACGGTGGAATTCCAAATTAAATGCAATCACTGGCAGAAACCAGCCTAATGTCCACTTATTAGTCAGAATACTAAAAGAAGAAAAACACAAAAAGTGTCTTTTAATTTGAAATCCAGAGAATTAGGCGACCCCCCTGGAATAAAAAGGAAAAAAGCATACGTAAAATTGGATGAAAGAATTGAAAACATCCTTAAGGAATTCGAAACATCAAACAATTTAGAAAAATGTCTGAAATCTTTAAGTTTTGTAACTAGGTTGGACTAAATCCAATGGTAAATGATATTTATGCCTTTATAATAAAGGTTAATTAGTATTTATTTACTTGTATTTATTTTTTTTTATTTACTTGTATCAGTTTTATATATTTTACTTTTAGTATTTATTTTTACTTACATGATTGAAACTAATTAATTTTATGGCAGTTGCATCTGTTCTAATATTTATTTGACTCTAAAATACAGTTTTCCACAAAATCCCTGGAGTTCGTTCATACCCTTTGTCACATTCTTGCCACTAGGTGGCGGGCATCTCTTCCTTTACTTTTGCTGTAATTAAGTTCCGAGAAGCAGTCGAGATTGGAACCGCTTTGAGGAGCGTAAAGACTCAGAGTTAAAAATGTACTGTCTTAAAATAATTATCCCTTACCTTGTAAATAGTGTATATTAGCGTTTTCTTTGAATAAATAATTAAAAGACAAGATGGCCTGCTAATTGTAATAGAAACTCTTACTGGAAAACGTGATTATTAGAAGCCTGGCGTCGAGAACACTGAAGATGCAGCAGGTAAGGAATTTTACATTAATTTTATCGTAAATAGAAGAACCTGATGCAACATTTTTATGGCGCCCGAACAGGGACTCGAGGTTTTTTGAAAAGTTCTAATAAAGTGAATTCAAAAGCTGAATATTAAAATTGAAGATTTTAATACTTGTTCTTGAAGTATTCAGCAAAGAAGAATAATTTTGTTTTCTAAGTAAGAGTTAAATATTTTTTTTCATGAGACGTATATTTTTTGTGTAAGTGTTTGAATCTAAGAAAGATAATGGCTGAAGTAGATAAATTAAAAAAGAAAAGAAGTATCTTAAGAACTGCCGTTACAAAACTATTTAAAAAAAATCGAAAGTGAATTAAATAAATCTGAATGTAGTATTAATGAGCTCGAAGAATTGTTAGAACAGCTTAATGCTAAAACCGAAACGCTATCTAATGCCGATGTGGAAGTTGAATCAATTCTGAGTGTAGATGAATTCGAAAATGAATTCGAAATTACAGAACAGCGAGAAGATAACGTTATGGAAATTCAGGCTTAAGAAATGGATTAAGGAACTTATTCATGACTTAAATGCACCGAACACACAGCAAAATATAAAAGATACACCTAATGTTAAATTACCAAAACTTTCGATTCCCGTATTTTATGGGAACAGTAGTCAATGGCTTACTTTTTGGAATAGTTTTGAGTCCTCAATACATAATAACGAATCATTGAACAAAGTAGACAAATTTAATTACCTGAAAGCATATTTAGGAGGAACAGCTGCTAGCTGCGTTCAAGGACTTCCGTTATCGCCGAAACATTATGATTCAGCAATTCAAATCTTACACGACCGTTTTGGAAGGAGAGACACTTCTTATTAATGCGCACATGAATGATTTGCTGAATATTGTGAATCATTAAAAAATGCGAATGACATAAAACATTTCGTAACCTTGTATGATAAAGTACAAACACAGATTAGATGTCTCGAAGCGTTAGATGTTGTATCGGAATCTTACAGCGCTTTGCTGTGTCCGATGATTTTGAAGTTATTGCCTTCAGAATTAACGCTTGAATTTCAATAGAACACAAAATGTTGGCACAGATTATAACGTATAAAGATTTAATGTCATTTTTACACGCAGAACTTTCATCCCGTGAACGCACAAGGTCAACGGTTTCGCAACAGCAAAAAGTATCCGATCGGCGACAGTCTTCTTTCCCCCCCCTGCAACGAAAAGCGCATATGGTTTCTCAAATAGACATAATAAACCAAAGATTCCGACCGCTACAGATTTGTTTACGAAATCCTGAATGCAGGAGGAAGAAATATGAACTGCGTCTTCTGTAATCAATTCCACAAGATTTATGACTTGTAGTTTCCGTTTCCGGCTTATCATTACAAGAAAAAAGGGACATTTTAAAAAAGAAATGTGCTTGCTATAAATGCCTAAAATTACACCATTTGGCTCGAAAACTGCAGAACAAAAATAACTTGTTCTATTTGTAAAAAAATACATGCAACTATTATGTGTAATAAACAAAATCCTTCTGTCGAGGTTTCGGAAATTAAAAAAGACGAACAGAGATAGAAAATAAAGTACTTTCAAATCAAGCAGGATGTTCAGAAGTATATTTGCAAAACTTTAATTGTTCGCATATATGGAAGAGGGAAATAACCAATTTGTTCGAGCGATAATTGACACCGGAAGTCAAAACTCATACATAAGCAGGTATGCGCAGAAAGGTTACAATTAAGAAGCTTAGGTGAACAAAGTGTAACCCACGGACTTTTCGGTGGCATAGAAGTTTCGGAAAACATAAACGTTATAGAATAAAATTGGGTAGTTGGGGTTAGCGTAGATAAACGGTATAATTGCGAAATCAATGTATTGGATGAAAGAAAAATATGTTCTTCGGTCCCTCTAAAATCAAAAATATACCCTGGATTGGGGGAACTTAGAAGAAGAGGAATTTACGTCAGTGATGTTTTTGAAAATGGAAAATTGCAAATTATTCCAGGAGAACCCCCAAGAGATTCATTTGTTGTTAGGGGCAGATGTTGCTGCAAATTTATTTATAGGTAAAAATCGAAGTTCTTCCTTGGGGAAGATTAGTTGCTGTAAGTACAAGACTTGGGTGGACAGTCATGGGGAAAGCGAACACTGACAATTATGAAATAGAAAATTCCTTTTTCCACGCTTTCGTTATCTTTACATATTTCTGATGCCACGTTGTCAGAACTGTGGAGGCTTGATGTTATCGGAATAACAGATCCAGTTACAAAAAAGGCTAGAGAGGAAAGGGATTTGCAAGCAAAATTGCAATTCGAAAATTCTGTATCTTTAAAACGAAGAGGGCGTTATGAAGTCGCACTTCCGTGGGCGGAGAATCATGTACCACTCTCCACCCACAAGGATTTAGCGTTGAAACGTCTCTACAATCTACCACCCAGAAACTTTTATCTCAAAATTTATTTTCTTCATACAATGCAGTTTTTAATGACTGGTGTTGTAACTTAGGAGTGATCGAAGAAGAAGTTAAAGAAATATTGCGGTTGACTATGGGCATTATTTACCGCATAGACCGGTGATCAAAGAAAATAGCTCAACACCAATTCGACCGGTGTTTGATGCGTCTGCGAGGAAAAAACAATCGTCTCCTTCTCTAAATCAGTGTTTGGAGTGTGGACCAAATTTGATGATAGAACTAATTCCATCTCTTTTTGTTGAGATTTCGGGAAGGCAAGTTTGCTGCTATAGCAGACATTGAAAAGGCTTTCTTACAGATCAGTGTAAGGCCTCAAGATAGAGACTGGCTTCGGTTTTTCTGGTGGAATGATGTGGAAGAAAAGAAAAAGGAAAACGAAAATATTTCGTCATACTAGGGTAGTATTTGGGGTTAAGAGTAGTCCTTTCCTTTTGGCAGCTGTTTATAGAATTCCATCTACAAAAGTACATGAAAAATTCTTCATATGATACGGAGATAATAGCTAAACTCTTGCGTAGCTTCTACGTAGATAACGTTTTGCCAGCTTTGACAAAAAATCCGAGATGATCCAGTTCATCGAAAAATCTCGAGAAATAATGTATGAAGGAAAGTTTAATCTTCGAGGTTGGTTACATAACGGAGATAACTTGAAACATGAAACTATTTTACCCGTATTGGGTCTGTTATGGAACTGTCAGAAAGATAATTTAACTTTGAATCTGAATTGGCTAGAAGATTTTGAAATGGGTATGATAACGAAGAGAACAATTCTCGCTGTAACACACAAAATATTTGATCCTATTGGTATTGTGAGTCCTGTTGTCTTGTATCCTAAAGTATTGTTGCAGAACCTATGGAAAACAGGAATTTCTTGGGATACTGAAGTCGACGAGAGTACAAAACAAAATTTTGTGAATTGGTATAAAAGCCTTTTTTCTCTTAAAAGAATATCCCTCCTACGTTGGATACATTCCAGCAAGGACAATAGGAAGTTCTGCAGCATTCACACATTCTGTGATGCAGTAGTAATAGTAATGCGTATGCTGCTGCAGTTTTCTTGAGAACTGTGACGAATTCTGGAGTTGAAGTTCATCTGTTGGCATCGAAGTCTAGGGTAGCTCCCGTGAAATCTATTACGATCCCTCGTCTGGAATGATAGCTGCCACGATAGGTGCCAGACTATGCTCTTCTGTTTTAAAATGGTTTGCAATGGCAAAATATGGAAACGCATTTTTGGACGGATTCTACAACAGTTTTGACATGGATTCAAAGGGAAGAGATTGTCTGGGCTGTCTTTGTGGAAAACAGAGTCAGGGAGATTAGAAAACTCACAGATCCAAAAACGTGGAAACATATTGCTGGAACAAAAAGTCCAGCTGACCTCCCATCAAGAGGTTTTGCAAACACCGCTAAACAACTTTTAGTAGTTAGATGTGGGAGGGCCCGACTGGCTGAAGAAAAAAAATCAGGAAGAATGGCCTAGACAAAGGGAAATACCGGATATGGAAATAGTAAATTCAGAAAAAAGGAAATCAGTCATTTCTGCACTAAATACGCAAAGGTAGAACATTT